TTGAGATAGTGGTGATATTGTGATAGTGGTGATGTTGAGATAGTGGTGATATTGTGATAGTGGTAATGTGGTGATAGTGGTGATATTGTGATAGTGGTGATATTGTGATAGTGGTGATAGTTACACGGAAGTTAGACTTTCAAACTTCCTTTGACTATAAGATAGTGTCATATAAACTAATATGATGATCCAATGGAACAGAATAGAATAGTATTGAATAGAATTGAATTGAACAAAACAAAACAGAATAGAATATCATAGAAATGTAATGTATTATAAAATTCGATTTCAGATAATGTAATCCAATAGAATGCAATATACTTAATATAGATATAGATATATTTATATATAGATATTTATATATATGTATACAATACAGTGAACGGAGGCTGGCAGAAACAGTTTGATCAATCCTTGGTCGTTCTGAATCCAATGGGTGTCATGGCTCCATGATGCCATGCCTCCTTCGGCAGAATTCGTGCTGCAGGATCATATCGCAACATCTTGTCAATGAGGTCCAGGGCCTCCATCAGTCACTTAGGAGTCATCACAGGTCACGATGACTAAGTGAACCAAAACGCTACGCGTTTTTAATCCACAAGGTCCAAACAGAAGCGTTGATGCACTCGTTTTTGAACATCAAATGGCAGAAAAAATCAGCAAATCCAACAACTGAATTCAGATATGGCTTGGATTGGCTCCGCAAATCTAACAACTTGTGCCGGCACGTTGAACTCCTGAGCGTGCCCAAGCTCATGGGGGGTCGCTGTGTATGGTTTTCCCTGGGATAGTTGCCCTAACTGGTGTGGACAGATTTCGATTTGTCATCCTTTGGGAAACTTGGATCTACCATCATGCTGCATTTAGAAGCTCTGCTCCTTGGTGGCTTTGTAGAGTCGACCAAGAATCTGCGAAACCCCGCCAAAAAACATTTGATCGGTACGCATTCCGAATTTCCAACTATTTGATGCACAACCATTTCTCAGAAATGCTGCAATCTGACACCCATCTGTTACAGCCTCCGGAGAGCATCGATCTGCATTCTCCTCAAGGACGCCCCCAAAAATCTGCCCTCCCGCCCAAGTCAAACAGCGAATGCATTCCCAGAGTATGGCTCTTGAACATGAAGCATGTGACGGCAGAAAGGGCAGCTGTGCTGTATACACGGGCTGTGGCAAAGCCACTGTGCAATGTATCAGATTGTCTCTGTGTTGCAAAAACTGACGAGAACTTCTTTTTGCAGGATTTCCCTCCGTAAATCCCTAAAGGCACCTTGTTCTTGAAGGAAGACCATGGCTTGCGAGGGAGCTTCCTTCACTGCTGGCAAGAAACTTGTTGTTTTTTCCCGGTGCTTGTGCAGCGCGTGTTGCAGGAACTTGCTGCGAAGATATGAAAAGAAAGACAGCTACAACTGTTACAACAGTTTACATAGAAGTGTTTTACAATATTCTACATGCATAACTAACTGATACTAAGTGCATAACCAACTGCATAACATCAAAACAAGTTTCCCCAAACGTTGCTCCACTTCCAGCTCCAATTCGAGGTCATAGGCATCCAAGTACTCTTCGAGAAGATCTGTCCCCAGCACCTGCCATAAACGTGTCCCACCTCATAGAGGGTTCAACACTTTCTCGCGTCTCACAGGTTCTTCCTATTTAGTCTGTTCTCCCAGGGTTGGGGTTTCTACACAGTATGAGACATTGCATGGCATGAATTCTGAATAATTCTGATCCAGTCATTGTGATTCTGGTCATGGACTCTGCCGGCTGCTTCGACGTGATTAGCTCGCAGGGGATTCAAATGACAAACAGAATTCAGCCCAAGTAGCAACAGCAACAGCCAGTGAGGTTGTGCTAGTCACATCATACGATAAGTAAAAAAGAAGTGCGATGTAGCATGACGGACTCTCTACTACAGAAATCATGCGATTTCTGTATCGATAAGTGGGGGGTGACTCGGAAACAGGAGAGCAAAGTCTGTAGGTGCTGAAACTGTTTCCCGAAAACACCTTGTCTTTAACCTTTGTCTTTGAAACTCAGAGCACATCCAGAGCACTATCCCATACTATCCCTATCCCCGCACCCTGGCAATCTTGTACAGCTGATCAACGTTGTCGGCACCAGCAAAAAATGGTTCCTTTCGAAAGGTGAGCCCTGCCAGCATACAACCTGGAAGCAGCTGGAAGCAGGACGGGTGTGGAGGCAGAACTTGGCAACTTTCGAAGAAATTCGCGACAAACTACAATGACTATAATATATTATAAATGTATCAATATGTATCATAAGGGCGATAAATATCAATAAATCATAGGCGATATGAGTCAATCACGAAGTTACGAGTGCTTCTGTCGAAATCTGTGAGAAATTCACTGAATTTGGGATCCTGAACCTCTTAGGGATGTGCATCGGCTGCTGCAAAGTTGCCCAGGCTCCACATGTCCAGGGAATAATCGTAAAGCATGTCCTTGGCACCAATGTGAGCTCCAAAAGCTCGAAAATTGATTATAATAGGCTCATGATCATTCAAAAGCGATATACTTGATATAATTATATATGATATTATATGTAGTTACGGATGATTATGGAGAAAGCAATTTTGAAAGGAAAGAAATCCATAGAATCCCATGAGCCTGAAAATGGAAAGGAAGGAAGTCTTGGAAGCAAAAAACGTGGGGTGGGTTTGTCACATCTTGCTCAAAATCAAAGCAAGCTCAACGTTTCAAAAAAGAACTTCGTAACAGGCACAATCACAAATGAAGACATCGAGGACAATCTAACAAGGGTACCCTCGTGCCAAAGCCACTTTCTCAACAATGAAAATGTCGAGGCGTCTGCCCTCTTGTTTAACTGAGAAGCATCAACTAGAAGTTCAGGACCTTTGTAATGTCGAGAGGCGACCCTGGCCCGACACAATCATAAAACAGTCTGGTGGGAACAAATGTACCTTTTACCCAAGGACCCTTGTGTAACACCTTGATCTTCGCTGACATCACACATTCGTCATACAGTTCTGGCACTATTGGTGGCCACTGTGGCCAAAGCCTGACGTTGTACTCATTCAGTGGATGATAAAATTCGGCAAGGCCCCAATCCTCAGTGGCGGCGGTTGCAAACAAAAAGCGCAGAAAATTCGGGATCTTGTTATTCTTACACCCAAACACCAAAAAAAAAAAAAAAACATTGTGTAATCATCATGCGCCGATTTGGAGTTGGTGTTTTTTCTCATGGCTGAGGATGGAGAGAGATTGCACAACAGAGCCTTCCTCTTAGGCAACCGAAACATTCAGGTGGCAAAATGTGAAACTCTTGCCGCATTTCTTCATGACCCCAAAACACAAGAACCACACGTCAGGATGATTCGCCCCCAGGGTCTCATTCACTGCCGAGAGTCTATGAGTCTCACCTGGCAGCTTTCAAATTCTGTCAGGCTTCTGAACTAATTATTTGGGAGCACCGGCACGAGGATGCTGCAAATTATTGATGAAGCTCAAATCTCACATGTTGCAACAGCGGTCACCGCTGTTGCGGCTCAGCATGTGAGCAGGAACATCAAACCGCTTAGCGTGGCCTCCCTCTTGTCATGGTCAATCATGACATTGTGCGGTTTTACCTTAGGATTACCCAAGCTGGACTTTTGATCCCGCTGCCCCGCTTGCTTTAGCTCCTGTGTTTATGTCCAATCAGCGGCATGGGAGCTTTGCCAAGAATGTTCCTACTGGTCTTGATAAGGTGGAGTTCTATGGAGCTCTATGGAGTTCTGAGTTCTGAGGTCTTTCAATGAACTCGAGCTCCACTACAGTCACTACAGAACTCCACTACTTATATATCCACGACGAGTTGCGTCACGATGCATGAGACCCTGAGAGTGGCTGTAGTCCAGAGCCTGGCGATGGTTCAGATTCCATCAGATCCCCAAAAAGATTACCACGTGGCTGCCGTGCTGCACTTAAGCTGCCTCTACTTTCACAGGAGCATGATGATGATAGATAACTATGTCAATGGATTGGTTTAAGGGAAAATCTACAGGAAACCCTGGTTTTTACCATCAAATATAGGGCTTTCCTGTTAAATTTTTCCCATCATCCAATTCTATGATTATGGCATGATAATGATGATAATATGATGATAATGAACATGCCATTGTGCCATCTTAGAAGTGAAGGGCGAATGATTTTTGAATGCCTGATGTACCTGATGTACAGCTGAACCCCTCCAAGATTACCAGCCGTTACCAGCCATTTGCACAGCATCAATTCCACCGTGCCAGGCCAAGTTGGCAAACCCATGTCAGAAGTGGGCAAATTGCAATGTGAAAAGGACATGGATCACAACAACAAAGAAATATAAAGATATATAAAGATATATAAATTATATAAAGATATATGAAGAAATACCAAACGACAACTGGACACAGAATGTCGTAAAAGTGTCCCCTGATTGCCCATCTAAGCCCATGCACCGTCCCGCCTTGAGAACTTGATATAAGTAGAATTTCACGTCAAAGGGAGTAAGTTTTGGATACAAAGTCCTGAGGTTTTCATATAATGTGAGGCCCCCCAGTTATAAGTTGGTTTATAAGCCCCAGTAACTATAGTTATAAGTACCATAAACCATAGTTATGGGAGTTATAAACCAACTTAGCTATCGAACGGGGGCCTCACATTGTATGTTTCATGAAGTGCATGGACCCTGCATGGACATATATGGACCGTGGATGACCGGTTCGGCGGGTTCTGAGGTCTGGTGTTTTGCACAAAGGTGGCCCATGGGTCTTGACAACTCAGTAGCGATGCCTATTCTAAGTAGGGCCAAGATATGCGTGAGAAGGTAAGCATCGCTGCAGACTGAGTTGCGAGAATGAAATGAATGAAGCACATTGATATTGGAACGCATTTCAATGTGCAATGGCTTTCAAAAAAGTCTGGCAGCTCACTTTTTGGCTTCGTTGTTTCCAGATCATTCTGACTTATTCCATGTCATTCCATGTCATTCCATGTCAGGAGATATCTGGAGTGCAGACCAATCAGACCATGCATCTTCCAGTCTGTGTTGTTCACATGTTCAAAGACGAGGCATGGCGTCTTGGTGAGGGGATCCCTCACCACATCCAGAAGCTTCACAATGTTTGGCCCAGCGCTCACCTCGATTCCCAAAAAACGACACGATCCGCAAAAACGCCGGCCACGCCGGCGCCGGGCACTGAAAACAACTCATCAAAAGTGAAAGCAAGAGGCATTCTGTAGGATTTTGATCTCGCGCCTTGGTTGGCTCACAAGCCCCCCCATTTTTGAAAAACATGATAGCATATGGTCAATACACGTTACTGTAATACATTAATCAATTGATATACCATCTGGTTATTTAACATAGCCATGGAAAATCACCATGTTTAATAGGTAAATCATCTATAAATGGGCCATTTTCCATGGCTATGTTAAATAACCAGAGGGTACATTGTAATACGGTTAATCAATGACGACCACAATGATCATCAAGGGATGGAGGCAGAGATTCCAAGCTATCGATTTTCTCGCCTGGACAGGACAAAGTCGCTTTAGATCATTCCATGTCATGCTATATTTGTTGTTACATTAACTTATCATATGTTGTTTTCTCGCTTCTTTTGCCTTGTTTTCCACATTTTTCCACATTGTTCATGATCTTTCACGCTTTCACGTTCCCAAAAGCAGCCAAAGCACTTGATCTTCTTTTTCTTGACCGGCTTCAGAATCTTAATGACCTTCGATTCAGCTGGGCCCTACTGGGCTTCCTAGATCACAGTGACAGATAGCGATATCCACAGATGTTAGGCACTAAAGGCACCTGATGGCCTGATGGCAGAGTACAGCTGGAGTCGCTAACTTACACCAAGCCGAACCAAGCCGAACCAAGTGGCACATTTCTTGTTGCTTGGCACATGGAATCCTGTGAAGACTTCACCTTCCGAGCCGTCAAGAGAAGTCACTTCCGGTCCCAGACGCTGATATCTTCATGTGGGGATGGGTCAAAACCCTGGTACCTAGTGAACCCCAAAATAGCTGGTAAATGGATGTTCATCCCACTAAAAATGTATCTATAGGTATTGACCCATACCCATGTCAGTCTGAAGACGCGCGAAGCAAACTAAGATGATTGCTGTACTTTCCTCGCCCAATCTTCTTTGTCACTTCGTAGTCGTCCAGAATGCCCCATTTGACCTAAAGCATTGACAAACTTCCAATTAATTTGCTTCGATTGCACTTCACCACTTCACATGCAGCTGTGCGGGGTAGCTTAGCTGCTCGTCTAAGACTCTCCAGCTGACAAGCTCGCGTGGGCTATCAATATTGACATTAACTTTGCCACAATATACATCTATCTATCTATCTATCTATCTACCTATCTATCCATCCATCCATCCATCCATCCATCCATCCATCTATCTATCTATCTATCTCTATCATATATCATATATATATATATAAATATATATAAATATAAATGTAAATATATATATATAATTAATATATATATATATAATTAATATATATATATATATTTGCAACATTTTGCAACTGGGACTCGTTCGACTGCTCAATATGCCAAGACACTATGAGCTTCTCGTAATCCCAGTACTCTCTTGGTTTCTTTGACAGCGCATCCTGAGACTCCGTTCCCCCTTGGGTTCCTTCGGTTGTCGCGTAGAAAACGTCACAGTGAAACAGCCGATGACAATAATATTGGAATGATTATTCCCAAAATGTGGAAAAAATAAAAATGTTCCAAACCACCAACCAGATAATGATGGCTTCAAAGTTTGTTCAAACAATTGCAAAGGAGCAGCTTTGTAGAATCTCGGCAGCCGATCCCTGGCGCACTTTCACCCGCTTGATGTTAGCCGCTACTGGTACTACCAGTACGTCTACAGATAGTAGCAGCGGGAGCAGGAGGAGCACGAGGAGCAGCACGTAGGTAGCACGTAGTGCGCAATAGCATTTAAAATCATGCTCCACCAAATTTATTCAGGCTTTCAGTTCCCATGCAGAGGAGAATGTTGGGCAATTTGCCACTTTCAGGTTGGCAATGATATGTGGGTTGGATATGGAAATAGCAATAGCGGGATCAAACAGCACTGGACCAACCCACAAATCAGTGGGAAATAGATACAGCCGGCATTCACATGTTACAGAAAATACAGCCGTGACCTCCAGTTGTGACACTGCATGGAATTCCATCATCATTGGCCTTTTTCTTTTTTGGCGGGTTCCAGCGGTTTGCCCTGCCATAGTTGCAGTCAACATAATCAACCTTTACTACGTCCAGAGGTCGCGCAGAGGGATGAAGCCGGAGCGGAAACTCTAGGAGTTGTGCAAGCCTTTCCCAGCATCTGGAGGTGGTTTGCCCCGTTGTCTCAGTTGGTCAGGTCTTGTATCTGGCTGGTGTGGGGCATGCTTTTGTCGGGCTCCTGATGGCTGCACCAACGCGGGCCTGCAGTAGAACACGCGCATAACTCGCATTATGCAGGACCCTTCCTCTGAACATCTACCCTCCCACAACCTGTGCTACATGCAAAGCGCAACAACCCCCCACCGCGTGTAGCCAGCAGTTGCAGGAGCCTAAGAGCAGTCCCTGGCCCTAAAAGAAAATGACCACTAAGCTCGGACAGCAATGTAACAACATATGCAACGGCAGCTATGACAACCAGATGTGACAACCCATCGTCTGTGGCCTCTTTGTTGCGCGCGCAGTCATGGCATCATCCCGCAAATAGCATTTGGATCATTTAGAGCTTCAAAGCCCGAACAGCTTCGGCGCAGACCCTCTCTGACCCCAGAATTTCCTTGAACACTTTGAGGTCACTTTGAGGTACCTCAAAGATTCATTCCTTCCTCTTCAAACCAAGTACATTACTAGCCCGGTTTCCCATACCATGAAACTCCAGCGTTCTGAGGGCGCAACAAAGAAGCCGAGTGGTGACATGGAACCTGATTTGAAAACCTATGAAAACATATGAAAACATAATGCTTTCCTTCTGCACTCCGAGATGTTGTATGAATGCGTGCTTCGACGGAGCGGCTGAAAAGCCAAAAAAATCTGTCACTTAGACCTGGGCCATCGGCCCATACGATGACACCGATGGACCATGCCACCCGAGCAAGTTGCAGTCGCCTGCACCGTTCGATCTCGATCCATGTTTGTCTGTGGTCAGTAAACAATAAATCAATGCTTGGGGCAAAAGGCGCAAGATGCACAAGACACGCGAGGCGCTGTCCGATCTCCGCGCTCCCACTCTTGACGTCAAAAAGTTGGGTCCGGCAACCGTTTATGCCAAAGCACGAGCAGACGATGACACTCGCTGAGGCAGCACAGGTTTGGCGGAGATCTGGTCCATCCATTAAGCTCCATGAAAAGATACGAAAAACGTGTCTCCGTGGGTATGACTCAAATGGACTCAAATTGACTCAATGACCATGTTGAGAATGTTGAGTCATGTCATGTCGTGTCTCTGCAAGTCGCTGAATGCTCCTTGGTGTTGTGGCCCCTTCACATCTCTCACCCCGTGCAGCTGCTCAGCCACCTACTGGCTGTTACCGCTACCGTCCGCAAACCCCGCGCGGAGGGCAATGAACAACTTGGCGCTGCTTGGCGCTGCTTGGCGCTGCTTGGCACTGTTGGGGGCAAGGCTGATCAGGCCTAGACCTACCCAACAGATTTGCAAAGCAACGAGGCAAAAAGTGAAAGCATCAAACATCATCAAACAGTTCAAGCTTCCAGTGATGTTTCTAACAGATTCTAACGTTTCTAACTCGTTCGAAGCTATGGCGACTTTTTCTTGGCCTCACTGCGCCCGGAAATCTGTTCGACTAAGGCGCGGCTACAGCCTGAACTGACCTCGTAGACACCATCGCTAAATGGCAACATTCAAAAGCCAGTCAAATTGGGACATCGGATCATCCTTGGTCCTCCTTTTTTTTCACTACTTTTTGGAAAAGGTATGTAACATGGTGTAACTCTTGCTGCAGTCATTGCCTTTTTCGGCCTTGTGGAATCCTCGGGAATCCCAGGGATCTCAGCCATCGGAGCGCTGTGCGTCGCGGCTAGTCAGAGCTGCTGGAACTGGTGCTGTCGCTGTCCGAGCCCATGACATCACTGTCAGAGTCACTGTCCTGGGAGGTGGCAATGTCGCAATGCGTTGTCTCAAGGAGATGAGTTGAGATAATTTGAAGGTGCGGAAAAATGCTGAAGGCTATTGAAAGAATTTGAATGTATATATATATAGTTGAAATATGTTGAAATAATACGGGTGGAGAAGGTGTGCGAGGAAGAGTTAGAGTCAGAGTGTGGCTCGCCACAAAAAGATGTAGAATGACCTGAATTGGCCAACATTATATAGTCAACTTCACAAGCCAGCAAGCCTTACCTTCATGAACTCCATAGATCACCACCACTAGGGCTAGGGTTTGACATCGTTTGACACCGGAAACACCTCCAAACCGATGCACGCAACAATTGGGACATTGTTGGGCACCCACCGGAAACCACAAGTGCCGAATTGAAACAGCACGTGGCATGCCACCAGAGTTGAAACTGTGGCCGCTGGGTGAGAGGTACAGGATGGTACGGGGCAAAATGATGAAAAATGGAAAGATCTATTGTGAGTGAGCGCCAAGCACGAAGGAATTTAGTAGAGCACTAACGCAACTTACGAGTAGCACCGTGCTCTGAGCGCCCAACTGCTGCCTTTTCACTTGGCTTTGCTTTGCCCTTCGGTGATTGAAGTAATCAACTCTTGATACCCTCTGGTAAATTAACATAGCCATTGAAAATGGCCATTGATAGTGGATTTACCCATCAAAAATTGTGATTTTCGCATGAAGCATCTTCTCATTGATTATGGCACCTTGGCCTTTGCCTTTGCTCGGCCCTTGCCTTTGGTCTTTGATTTTGCCTCACAGGGTGTAATGACGACACAACGATGACACAACAAACGTGTGCACATCAACCAACATGATCAACATCCAGCATGTATTCTCCAAATCATCCAAGATCATCCAAGATTGTTCAATTCCATTCAATTCCACAGGAAATTCCACCGTTCCACATCGAGTCTTTTGGTTTTCTGATTACGGCGAATGCTCATGGAATTCATGCCTTAGCCCGTCCCTTTGGCTTCGGTTTCCTTTCAATGGCTGCTCTTCTTTTCTCGAACCTACGGACTCCGCGAGGCACCACTGATAGCGACTACAGAGCGAAAAGAAAGGTGTGCGCGATCCCCCGAAGCCCAGCACTGTTTTTCACAAACATGACCGGACAATGACATGCTGGATGCATATGGTTTTGTTATATTTTGTTATGTGTTCCAATAATGTCCATGAAGCCAAGATACTTCTTGTAACCTTCCGAGGACTTGTACTCCTTCAATGCCTCGTCGTACTCCTCCTGGAAGCTGATGGATACTGATGGATACTGATGGATACTGATGGATACTGATGGGTCGATTGGAACTAAACTGACGCGAACACCCAAAACATTCCAAAACGTCAGAGCTGACCGCAGCTGACCAAGTGGGTTTCCATGGGTTTCCAACCGTTTGCGTTTGGCAGAGCCAGGAGCCTAGCCCGACAGACCAGCAAGCCATTCGGCAGTGGCACTGTACAAGTTACGCGGAGTCGGGGGCAGAGGTTTCAGGAGGTAAGAACCTACAAAGCAAAAGAAAGCATGCGCCTACAGACTGTTTGTCATCACGCTGGTGCGTTGAGAATGTATCTTTCCTGACAGCTCTTTCAGAAGGCATCTCCTTCTCTCGACATCCCTTTCTCTTAACAGAGTTCTCTTTCTCTTGGTATCGCGCTCTCTTGACACCTCTTTCTCTTGACATTTCCTCCTCTGTTCACACTTCTTTCTCCTGACACAGCTTTCTCTTGGCGTATCTTTCTCTTGACATCTCCTCCAAGTGCCATCTCCTTCTCTTGCCCTGTCTTTCCCTTGGCATTTCTTTCTTGGCATCTCTTGCTCTTAGCAGTTCTTTCTTCTTTAACATCTACTGTATGTCAATCTATGTCACATGTCATGTCTTTCCATTGGCATCTTGGTCCCCTGACATCTCTTTATTTCGTCCGCAAAAGGTTCACTAAGCTCAGCGAAAATAACACTCGTACCTTTGTTTTTGACATCCGACCCTCATTTCACGCGAGATACTCTGCATACTCCTAAAAAAGCAAGCCGAAGTTGCGCGAGGGAAACTATACTGTGAGAAATCCTCCTCAAATGACAGCTCCTAATGGGAAAAGAAAACGTTCATGCAAGACTTTCTGCAGTGAGACAGTGGATTGTTACGGAAGTGAGTTGTGAAATGCCGGTTTGTTGTGATTGTGTATGTCCGCAAGCCCTGAAATATGTATCTAAATGCATCCGAAGCTTCGGAGGAATACTGGCTGCAGTAGATCAATGTCACCATGCTTTCCCTTCCGTGAGAGTTCTCTCCACATCCCACATCTTCCCTCACCGTCCTTGCTTTTTCTGGCTTTCTCTTCATAAGGCTGTTTCTCCTCTTCAGAGCATTTGCCTCATCACCCAAGTGCCAGAAATCGAAACAGCATCGGCAGCATCGCTGTGCGTGGATACAGGACCAGGTGTCCATCCATCCATCCATCCATCCATCCATCCATCCATCCATCCATCCATCCATCCATCCATCTAACAATGGTTTGATCCGGTCTGGCTGGTCTGGCTCGATGGCCAGTGATCAATTTCCTTGGCGTCCACGCCCCACATGGCCGAGAGTTCCTTGGCAATCTCGCCAAGGCTCTTTTTCTCTGCTGCCAAACCCGGTCTTTTCTCCTGACCACACCGGACCCCCAGCGTAAGCTTGTGATTTGCAATTCCGAAATATTCCGAATGCATTGGAAATCTTCGAAGCAGCTAACAGGTGGGATTTTTGGCATCTGCGGCTTTCCACCCCACAGCCCAGCGCTGCCTGTACAAACAGCTGATACGCATTGTGAGCCGGCTTTGGTGCCTTTGGTGCATCCTCAAGATGATGGAAGACTAGGCTGGCGGAAGGCTGACAAATGAATAAGCAGCCTGCAACATGCCACTAACTATGTCTGTTGCAGCGTCCGCTACTTCTGCAGCAATTCTCAGCTTTCGAAGCGTTAGAAAACCAACAATTTGCTGACGTCACATTGTTACGATTTTGCCCTCATGCATTCAAGCACAGGCCTCGCCACCCAAGCATTGTGCCCGCGCGTTTTCGATGCCTGGGTATCACGAACTTTAAGGTTTTCACAAGTTTGGTTGGTACCCTAGGGGATGTCGGCCACGTTCTCAGACTTCCAAGTGTGTATATAACATTATATAATTGCATTTGCACTATTTTGCACTTGCATTCAAACTTGCCTTTAGCTTTACCTTGAGACGAGACTAAGTTTACATTTACATCATTTACAGTTCGGTTTAGGCTACTGTACATCTACAGTTTAATTTGCGCATCGGCTGCAAGGATCTCAACTTGAAAGCAGGTGACGGCTCTTCTTGTCCGCTGCAGCCTTCAGTCTGTAGTACTTCTTGCCTGTGGCTGTGCCAGTGGAAAATGTGGAAAGAAAGAACCGGAGAAGCCCGAAGGCACCAAGTCACAAGACATCATGTCTTGCATCATGGCCCACCAGTTCATCAGGTCCCCTTGCCATGCCATGTGTACTAATTCCAGCACCGTGTCAGTTTGTTGCACTGGCAACCAGAATGTGCAGTTGAAGGACAAGCCCAAGCCGCAGATCTGGCATTTGAATTCCTGAGATTTAGGAGTCTCGAAGCATGATATCCAGGTGATTTGTGTACGCCCAAGCCTTCTGCGGTCTTCTTGAAGTCTTCCAAGTCCTGCAAATGCAAAGACCAGTTTGCGCCGACGCACTGTAGCAGACATTTCCAGCAAGCATTGACTCGCAAGACCAAGAAAACTGCCCATTGCCAAGTACTGTTTCAACCCGCGTCCTTTTCGTACCTCAGTGTTTCAACCATCCGCCGTGCAAAATGTCCTTTCTGCATATTGCCAAACCGTATCCACCATTAAAGTTCTTGCAGCTAGATGGGCAACACATCTCAGCAACGCGGATAAGAATTTAGTAAGTCCAAGTGGCTCTTCCGCTTTATCTTTTGCTTCTTCAGTGTACTTCTTCTGGCCCTTTCATATCTTTCATGTTGACAAGCTTGAAATATCTTGAAATGCTGTGAGCGAATGCATTCCCCTCTGGTTATGACTAACATAGCTATTGAAAATGGCCCATTTATAGTTGATTTTCCCATTAAAAATTGTGATTTCCCATAGTTTTTTGTATGTTTACCAGAGGGTAACTTGAGTTTGGCCATCGTATGCTGCCCTGCCCTCGACGGGCGCCTCCTCGCCGAGTTCTTTCCAAGCCTTGGCTTGCTCTGCCAAGCCGCCACCGCCTCCACGATTAATGCACTGCTGAGCCATTTTTGGAATATTGGTTCATCCGATTCGTCAATACACCAGACATCACCAGACAATTTTTCATGAAGGTCTTCACAGGAAAAGGCAGCCGTGAGCATGACCCTGTCAGTGGAATTGCCTTTTTCAAAATTTCAAAATGGCATACAATTCCAAAACATTCCAAAACATTCCAAAACCAAACTTGCTCCTCCCTCCCTCCATGACCGGCCTTTGTTGGCTGCCATGAAGAGGGTCATAGCTTTGGGTGGCTTTTTCGGCATGCTGTCCGGAATCGGAGGGCCTTTCTTGGTTTCCTTCTTGGCCGCCTTTGCTTTTCCTGAGAGTCGATGGGATTCGATGGGATTCCCAAGGTGCCACTTCGATTATGCTCATTCCTGCGATTTCCATCCAGTTCCTGCCATTTCCTGCCTGCCGCCTTCGCTTTGGGCTTGGCCACAGCTAGGTATTTCTTGTATTCTGCTGACTTCTGAAACTCCTGCGCCAGCCCCACGGTGCCACGTTGTCTCCATGCAAGTCACCCTTTCATGATTCGAATGCGTAAAGTATCAAATTAATCGCTCCCCCGCCAAGTCCCTCTGCCTGGGATTGGCTTGCAACCGAACTCAAGAAATGCAAAGCCCCCCGAATCCAAAGACGCATGCACAAGCACTGGACGAGCCAAATGACTAAAAGTTTGCATGAAGGCAAGATGTTGCGAAGTTGAAGAAGTCCTCAAGTTGTTCAAGATACTCGTCATTTTTTTCCTTTGCCATGTCTTCGTATACCTTCTTCTCCTCTTCTGGAAGTCCTCAGGCAAAGATGGCAAATGGCCTGCTGTGTAGATCCCAAGACCGTCAACACTCTCGATACGAGTTATGTTGCGCAAATCCATGCGCCAAAGAACAAAACCATAAACATACCATGACGCATATACGGCATGTGTATATATATATATATACCCATAGAATTACATAATATATATATATATACTCATTATATATCGCACAATCTGGGTAAAGCTCCTGTCGAGTTGACTTGCTTGAACGAATCCACCCAGATCATAACACCCAAACACGTTGCCAAATATCTTGGAATTCCTTCCTTTGTTTTCAATTGCAGGTTTTGCCGTCATGCCCGAATCATGCCCTCTGTCACCCTATCAGCCTGGAAGTCTTGCACCTCTGGTGCAACCACCAAATACTTAGGATTTGCACCCAGCGTTTTTAGTTCGGTTGTCTGATGTTTGTCAGTCTTCCACGAACTGAGTGCTTGCTTTGGACATCTTTCCGCGTATGTTTCTGCTCCTTTTGCTGGTCATCAGTTTGGTTTTGCGCCTTGCTTTTCAAAGGTCCTTCTCAGCAGTTTCAAAGCTTTCCAAGCTCCGGTCTGCCTTTCCTGAGTGTCCTTTACTCTCTGGTAAACTAACATAACATAACTATGGAAAATCACCATGTTCAATGGGTAAATCCACTATAAATCACCATTTTCAATAGCTATGTTAGTTTACCAGAGGGTATTTCATCTTCCCACGAGGAAATTCCGAAGAAATCTGGAACCACCTAGAACCGCTGTGTGGCCTCAGGCCTCTGAAGACCCCAACTGGACGCAGCTTTGAAACGCGGATCACGTTGCAGCCCCCTACTTAGCCTAAACGGTTTGCCTGGAACCGTGTGGCACACCGGGAGTTTTTGCTCCAGCCCGCCATTGCAGCAAACACAAGGCAAGTGCAGAAAAAGATCCCAGGAGCCCAGGAGCCCAGAGATTGACTTCCCATTTTGTCCCAAGTATTTTCAGAAGCAAAATGAACAACAAATACAAGACTAACGTCAGACTGAAGCTTGTTGGGATGCCAGGCTTACTGCAGTTTCCGAATTGCTTTTCCATATTTTTCCATGGTTTTCCGCTCTTCCTCCTTTGTTTTTTTTCTTGGAAGTATCAAAATTACGTGCTGAGTGATGTCTGTACCCTCCGGTAAACTAACATAGCTATTGAAAATTGCCATTTATAGTGGATTTTTCCATCAAAAATGGTGATTTTCCATAGTTATGTTAGTTTACCAGAGGGTAATGGTCACAACTGCCCCTTAATGCCCCTTAGTCAGTCCCGCGCATCCACCGATCTCCACCATCCCTTGACCAACAAACTCCGGGGCCTCGCCTCGGTAGATCTCTGACAGCTTTCCATTCAGCCGGAGACCCTGGATGGTTCGGAGATGCCACATGACCCATTTGCAAAGATCACAGGCATTGGAAAAGCGATGGCAAAATATGCAAAGAATTAATCAAATGCTGCAAAATGCTGCAGAAATTAAAAATTGGAAACTCGAATTTTCAGAGGTACCGCAAGGCCTTGAGATCCGGAAATTGTGGAGCATACTCACTGCGCTTCTCATTGCGGAACAATGCCACGGCATTTGGCGGCCTGACCAGCAAATTGTGGGGCTGCTGAATCCAAGGGTTGGTCATTGTGCCTCTTGGGTTCGTCTTTCAAAAACTTCTCCTTGGCAGTTGCAAGCCTCCGCCTGAGTCCAGGTCTGAATCTGAAAAACATGAAATCTGTTTCCGATCAAAAAAGCAGCTTCAGCCACCACAGTCCGGTCAGCTGGGCTCAGCTGGGCTCTGTCTAATGCGGTGTGCCCCAATCGACTGCAGGATCCGAGATCATTTCATCGTTGCCATCGGTGCAACAGCGAAGGAGCTGGCCTTTTCGCCAAGGCCGCTGTTTCTTTCATATACTTTTTGCCTTCTTCTGTGCTCTTCCACTCTTTCATCTGCTCCTATCAACAAAAGCCGTGCAAAATGAGTGCGCTCGGGTCCAACGCTTCACGCCTCATATTCATTGAAGGCTTCTGCAGCTTCCTCTCGCAGCTTCTCCTGCACAGGCTTCCCCTTCAACAAGTATTACCTCACTTGTCATGCATGTGTATACCTATACAAATCCTATATATTTTTTACTGTATCTCAATCTCTCTCTCTCTCTCTCCTGTTACACCTGTTTAGCTTATTTTGGTATAATCATAGTGATCAGCTTCCGAAGTTTGAGACAAAGGCTGGAGCTCAGCAGCCACAGCAGCTCACTTCTGAGTTCTCCATTGTTTTCTCTTGTGCTTCTGGTGGAAGTATTCTGAGGCCATGTGAGACTGGGCGCCTTCTCTTCTGCAGGCAATTCTCTGAAAGCCTCTGAAATTTCTGCTGCTTTCTTCCCAGCACCCGCCTTCCAGCGTTTCAGTCGTTTCAGTCGTTTCCGTGGATTACATCTGCCTTTTACTTCGGGATTGGACTGTCCGGTGCCCAACAGTGTGGTTTTATGCCTTAGAGCCTTCAGCCCCCCTTGAAGCACTATCTTTAGGGCCAAACTCTCAGTTTTCTCAAAAATCTGAATAGTGTTCTTTGTGCCCTACTCTTTGATTTTTGTTGTGGAACATGACTTTCTATGAGCGGCTGGTTTCGGGTCATGTGCGACTGGAGCCTGGCGAACTGGAGTCGCTCTGTGTTTTCACATACGGATCAGTTTGTTTTTTATGTGGTGTAACATGAGTTGTATTCATTGTATTCATATTCTGTTCATATTCAATATATTCATATATATTCATAAGAGATTTCACAACGCATGGCGTGTGGAACTTCCAATCAAGATCAATCTGGCGTATCTCGTCGCATCGCCTTCTCCTTGAAGAGCTTTATGACATCTGGCGGCTTGGATGGCATGGACACAGGCTTGGATGGCGCTCCTGGCCACAAGGCCAGCACAACTTTGCACAACTGCACTCGCAAAAAAGGCACTCGCAATTGAAAGTTCAACAAATGTTCCCCGCCTGAGGCTTTCTTCACTGGCTTCTTGAGTTTCTTCATTGTTGATTCAAACTTCTTGTAGTTCTCGGTCTCTTTAAACTCTCCTAGCTTTGCCTAACACGCCAAATACTTTCAGGGCCCCTGTCCAGTGATCCCAGTCCCAGCGAAAGTTCAGGGCAATGAGAGCCATTGAGAACCCGAAATCTGAAATATTTGGAATCAGTTGCAATCAGTTCCGAATACTCTGACATTCTCCACTTTGAACACGTGCTGCACGTGCTCAGCACGTGCTGCACGTGCTGAGCGTTGCAAGGTTTTGCAGCCACCCAAGGTGGGCAACAAAGGTGGGTTCAATGTGTGCACACGGTGAGCACAAGGATGGCACAAGAATGGCACAACAAAGCGCAACAGGTCACGCGATGTCACATGGATTCACATGGTGTACCTCGTATTCTTGGAAGAGCGTCTTGCCTTTCTCCTGATATACACTCCTCTCCTCATCACTCATGGTCTTCCTCGACGGTGCAAGTGCGAGTTCAATTTATGAAGGAAATGAAAGTGCCCCTGCTGTCCAAACAATGAAACTAGACTTGTCCCTCGACCGCTGCATCCAGGACAGTCTCTGTATCTGTCTCTGTAGTTCTCCTTTTTACCCCAGGTTTGCTTTGAAGTTGGACAAATTGGACAAGTCTCCAGCTGTTGGTGATCTCGGCTTTCAGATCAGCGCCCTTCAAATCTGGTCTCGCCTACAAGCTTAGATGTCAGTGGCCAAAAGCTTCCGACTAAACTGGAAGAGATCGTTTGGATGGTGGAACACACACGGTGCAAGTGGTTTCCAGACAGAATATCAGTCTCAGCACATCTCAGCTGACTTCAATACACAGCACGGCCAGCACGCTGCCTTTTTCAGTTCCTTCACCTTGTCCCGAAAAAACAGCTGCAGGTGGCCAAGGGGTTTCTTGGGCATATCGGTAAGGAACTTGTCCTTCGCAACTGCAGTCCTCGGGCACTGCTAACCAAGACCGTAAATGCACAGAATGCACAATTAAAAGGCGAGTCAAGCCTTGAAAATATACTGGGAAATGGGTTTGATTCCTAGAGCCAAATTACCACAGCGGAATGGGCCATGAGAATTAATATTTATGAGTTCTATAGTGGAAACCTGTGGAAAAGAAACGGAGATCAAAAGTTTGACGAGCTTCGCCCTGCTTTTCTGGATCACTCTCACCTGGCCGGGGCAGAGTCGGCCGGCACCAAGGACTGCAATGCAACTATTGAAACTTGAGCATACTTGGGTATGGGTCGGAATTGGGTACCCCAATAATTGGATGGTTAATACTAAACTAGACTAACATCTGTGGTCCCCTAGGTCTTCCATTTTGACCCATTCCCACTTGACTACAGTATGAAGGGATATGAAGGGTGGGTATTGCAGCAGGAGTGTTAAGCCAAGCGTGGAATCCTGGCTTTGACTTTTGAAAGGACCCACAGGGTACAAACGTAATGTAGAGACCAAAAAGGTCAGCAGGAAATGCACCGCCCCAGGCTTTCGGGTGGACCTAGGGACCTAGTACAGGAGCTGGAATGCAGTAATGTTGTGAGCTGTGCTCAGGACTATTTGGCAGGTGCAAATATGCTGAAAAAGGTGCTAAAGAAATTAGCAAACGACTGCGCAGAGGAAAATGCAGAAACGTCTATTTGAAGAAATAATGAAATAGACATATATATATATATATCACAAAACAGAGTCACCAGAAGCATTGCAACAATGCAACGAAGTCTTGGACAAATCAAGTGTGAAAGGATGTTGAGAGAGGAGCGGCGAAAAAGTGTTGCTACTCAGCGCGAGCGTTCAAGCTGTGTTGCAAAAGACGCGGTTAAAGAGGGTCAGAGAAGAAAGAACACCAAAAAAAATGATGGGGTAAATGGTGGAATAAATGTGAAACGAGTCTTGAGAAAATGCGATCGAATATGCAATTGTTGGAAAGGATTGCTGAAGAAACATGTTGAACGAAATGTTGAATCTGCTTTTTATCAAGAAAAGAATGAAATGAGTAAGGGGGGAGAGAGAGAGAGAGAGGCGTGTTTCGGAGTGCTGTGGTAGCGCAGCAAAGGAATAAGTCCAGGTGGACAACACCCAACACCCAGGTAGAATCCTATAGATCAAGCCCTCGGGAAACCCATCCCGGAACCCACACCTGAACGAAACGATGTAAGAAGTGGCCGAGAAAAGAGCAAAGGATCTGGACAAGAGTTAGAACAGTTAAAGCCATGTATAGCCGTGATGGGAGAGGAAGAAAAGACATACAGTATCTATATATGTATAGAGAGAGAGAGAGAGCAACAATTTAATACGTACAAGTAATATGTAATGTTAAATAATGTTGTGGTATGATGCAGCGAAGTGACTTCAATTCAGCCCCTTTGACATGAAGGTCCGAGGCTGAAACAGGAAGAATCTGCAATTGAGGCAGACCCTCCCAAAAGATCCCAACAGCAAAGTGTTTGCCAGTCACTTCAAGACATGACATATCATCACTAGTAACGGGGTGAGATTGAGCACGTACTTTGCTGCAAATGGAAATGCTATGCCGACCAGGCAGCCTTCTTGGCATACTGCTTACCCTCGTCACTTTCGTGGAAAGCCTCAGTCTCCAGCTTGCCAGGCCAAAGCAACTCTCCTACAGATTGTCCACCCATTTCCCATCCATTTCTCCATCCATTTCCCACTGCTTTCATTTCGAGTGGCTTTCAGGGTCTCTTGGTAATCTTTCTGCATCTCAGCCTCTTTTGCTGTATACTGGCTCTTCTCCTGCCAAGCGAATCTTACAGCGTTGAAGGCGCTGCAGGTTGGTTTCAGCATGATGTTCAGGCCTGTCATGTGATCAGGCGCTTTGGGTTTTAAAGTGTTTTATACGACTACAGTGTTACGGTCCTCTTCGCTCAAAGAGTCCCACATTTCTTGCAGCTTCGCAAAGTCATCCACATCATTCCTCAAGGGGTAAATGGATGTAAATGGACAGCATGGCCGCAAGAAAAGAAGAAAATACAAAAAAATGCAGAACCAACTATCATGCACACTCAGTATATTCAATAGAATGCGTGGGGTATGCGACCAAGTGGTTCGAGTCGCTTTAGTTGGGACCTATGACATGCCTATTATATGCCTATGGGGCGATGGGGCCCATTGGGCCCATGACGGCACTTGGGGCGCCTCTTCTCCAGGAAGAAGATGCGTCTGGCCTTTGGGGGCTTCGAAGGCATGCTTTCCGGACGGTCAGGCAGTGGCTGTAATTTCATGCCATTCTTCAATTTCTTGATCCTTGGATAACGACAACGACAAAGGCCTCAAAGAGTTGGAACGAGTCGGAAAGATTGGATCCGGCAGTCTGAGAGGGGTGTCTTTTCAAGGCCAGAATTTCAGAAAAGCGGTGCAGCAAAGTTCACATCAATTCACATCAGTTCACTTCAATTTTTCTTGGCACAAGCTTTGCATGTGCAGAGCATGTGCAGCTAGATGTCACTTTTTTCTTCCGGTGCAGAAGGGATCGAACAGGAACCTTCAAGGTCTTTGCTTCCTCCATATACTCCTGTGGCAAATTCCAACTGGCACGAGCCCAAGAACATCGTGCCGATCCTGCGAAGTTTTACTGATCTGGATTCGGCACGATTCTACTCGTAGATTGCGAACTTGGTTCAAAAAAATGATACTGGCCCACACGTTCATGAATTCTGCAGGCTGAATCTTCCAGTCACACAGGTGAGAATGGTATAGCATGGTGATCAGTCAACGGCCCGAACGGCGGGCGATGGCGGGCCGGCGGGCCTTCCACTTGGGAAGTTCCATGTAGGTCTTCACCTCTGCCTCCCACTGCTTGGTTTTCTCCTTCCGTTTCTCATCATAGACATTTTGTGTCTCCTGCCCAGGATACTGGTTGAAACATGTTTTTCACTGTTTTCACACTGGAGGAATAAGCCACAATAAGCCACAATAAGCCACAATAAGCCACAATAAGCCACTGTTTAGGGAACGGGGGATGCAATTTGCAATCTCCTTGTCAAGCTTTGCCCATTCCGCTTTGTATTCGGCCACCTGCAGCAACGGCGTGCTGCATCGCTTGATTCAAGGAATTCAAGGGCTCAAAAGCCTTCAGTGGGTCACACTGCCGGTGATAGGATCAGTACCCTAAAGCATACATGGGCATACTTCAAGAAGAAACAGGTGCTGGTGTTTTCTGTCTTCAAATTCCCCTCATTCATTGAGGACCACCTCTAGTGGCAAATGCTGCAGAAAGATCCCAGCAAATAACATCCACGAAACAGCCTCGTCGCAACACTCAAATTTCGCAACATTTCGACATACCATCCAGGTCCTAACATAACATATCCTAAGAGCCCAACCTGGCCACAGCACGGAACAACCAAAAATGTCGGTTGTATTATAGCTAGACGCAATTCAGATGCTCACGAGGTTGACCTCAAACCACCGAAGAAAAGCCCACTAGTGCTAGCGCCGTTCTGTCGTGGCAGGCTTTCATTTCTATGTGGCTATGGAAAATCATCATTTTTAATGGGAAAATCCATTATCAATGGCCATTTTCAATAGCTATGTTAGTTTACCAGAGGGTATGTAGAGGACCAGTTGCCCTATGGGTGTGGCGTAGCTTGCAAAGTCTGTTGCAGACCTTGACACCCTGTCTGTGGAGGTTTGACTCCTCCCTGGTCCGCTCATCTGTGTCATTGGGGTGATTGCGTTAGGAAAATCTTCTCGCAAAACCAAGGGTTTGAAAGAGGCTTCGTGCAGAGATCCCCCACCCTTGACACAAAGAAAAATCTCCTGGGAAAGTCTCTTCGCATCTATCATCATCTATCATATTCCATTTCTTCTGTCTATCTATCTATCTATCTATCTATCTATCTATCTATCTATCTAATCTATCTATCTATCTATCTATCTGTCTATCTGTGCGAACCTGTGTGATTTATATATGTGTATACCCTTTTTTTTCATCTAATAATTATATAGTATCTATGTATCATATCTATTCTATGTCTATTGAATCGATTGGCATCTCCGGGCTCTCCGAAACATCCTGAACTATCACGAAACTGCTTGAATTACCAAGAATTACCACGTGAAAATGACCACTTCAATGACCACTTAAATGACCACATCAATTTCTCCATTTCTCCATCCTGGCAAGAAATCTGGCGCCTCGTCCTTGGCCGCTTGTCGGCTCTTCTTCTTGGGAGCTCCTTCCTCTCCAACCGCCTGCCTCAACCGCGATCAAAAGGGAAAAAAACAAGGTGAGGAAAAAAATAACTCTGAAAACAACTCCTGGGCTCTGCGCAATCTTCAAACGTGTTCAAAACATAAGGAAAAATGCACACACACACGAATTAAATATGGAACTCCAGCAGGAGTGGAAGTCCGTCTCGATGTCACCATGTCACAACGGCAAGCCTCTTCTCTCCAACAAAAATGGCGAATGCTGTCTTTGGAGGTTCTTTGGGTGCATCGTTGAGGAACTTCAACGTCATCACCTCTAGCGTTTTCAATCCTTCTAATATGATACCCTCTGGTAAACGTTTACATAGCTATGGAAAATCACCATTTTCAATGGGTAAATCCATTATAAATCACCATTTTCAATAGCTATGTAAAATTACCAGAGGGTATGTGTTCATTGTGTGCACACAAAGCACAGCTCAAATTCCACACGAACACAGGATCGCACCACGGATCGCACTTAAATACCATGGGCAATTCCGCAGTGTGTAACTACGTGGAAACAACTGAAGCAACTGAAGCAACTTGCAGCTTGCAGAACCACAAGATCACAAGCACCTTCATCGCTTCAGTCAGCATTTCTCGTTTGATCTTCCCGCTCGTCTTGGTGAATTCCTCACACTCACGGGGAGTATCCAATGATTTCATGAGAGGATCTGCCCAGAATTTCTAGCACAGCCACATATTCAGCATCTGCAGAAGCCACAAATTCATAGAAATTCATACAAATTCAGCATTGTGAAACTGTGAAACCATGTGAAACAGTTAGAGGTAACCAATGTTTCGCTAAGCAAAAATTGCCACGCGTCGAGCGAAATTGTGTTACACTAAGATGCTACGACCGGGGGCTGACCTGGCAGCACATAAATACACTAAGGATTGGGATGATTGGGATGATTGGGGAATAAGATATATATATATATTGTAGATATATAAGATTTTGTGTGCGAATGTGTCACCCTCCCCGCCTTCCAAGTCTCACCTTCTTTGTAGCTTTTCATCTCCTCATCGTACTGCTCACGAAGTTCAGCCTCCTTCTGCTTGTACTTCAACTTCCTTGGAAAACGACTAAAGGACACCCGCCAAACTTGGGTACCAGTTGTCTTGTGCAGGCTTGAACATTATGGCAATGTTAAACTCAGATGTTCCAAAAAAAATGTGCAGCCAAGAGACGCGTCTGCATCGATTTCCGAAAATTTGTTCTTGACAAAGTTCATACCTTTGCCTGTTTGTCATGCGTTGGTGCAAGTCGAATAGAACATTGCCGGGGCCGCTGTGAACTCCACACAGATGAAGGCATCTGTGAACAAAAAAAGACGAGACAGACCCGAACGCGGCTGCAGGCCAAACAGGCAAACAAAGAACTGCCAAACAGCTAGACAAATGAAAAAAGAAATAAGCAAAATAAGTAAAAATGAATCAAAAATAAATAAAAAAATAAACGGCAAGTGAATGAAAGTCAGTATTTCAATTAAAAAATACGTCCGGAGCAAGGCAAATCAAACAATAGCGAATGTATGCTGAAGTGACCGGTTTGCTCCGTAGTCGAGGCCGTGATGTTTGCAGGAGTTTGGGGCGACAGTCATACATCGTCGCACATATTCTACAATGTGAGGCCCCCAAGATAGCTAAGTTGGTTTATAGCTCCCATAACTATGGTTTATGGTACTTATAACTATAGTTACTGGGGCTTATAAACCAACTTATAACTGGGGGGCCTCACATTGTATAAAATTCTACTGTATGTCACAGTATGTCACATGGTAAAGTCTTGCTGTTCCTTTTGCTCCTTCGCTTCCCGGCATTTCCCGGCCTTCTCCTTTGCCGCTGGGGACTTCTTCCTTGATGTCTTCCCTAAAGAGGGCATAGACCTGACATCACCCGAGAAATTCAGTGCAAATCCCATTTCCAGGTCCCAAGTCTGCCAATATCTGAGTCACAGTCTGTCACGTCTCTACTTTCAGAACTTCGATTCGGCGGTGCGGATCCGTATGGATCCGTGCATTCGTGCTGTCAGCTACTGTCAGCTACGTCAATGTAACAGAATTTTTCACAGAAATTCAAGCGGCGCTTAAATATGCACCTTCAAAAACTGCTTTATTCTTGCGGTCGAGGAACTGTTTTTGGTTTCTTGGGCATGTCCCGCAAGTTCACCAGGCGGTTCTCCTTGGCAATGATGATGCTTATGTGGCTATGGGTCAAAACCCTGGTACCCCTGTAGTTCACATCAAAATAGCTGGGATTTATGGATGTTCATCCCACTAAAACAAGAAAAATGGTATTAATATAGGTATTGATCCATAGCCATGTTTTTAAATCGCTACGTCAATCGCCCCAGTGGAAAAATGCCACCAAGGCGCCCGATTTTTCACCACCACCCGTTTCTGCAAGAATTGGGTGTAAGCCTCGCAGCATCTTCGCGGCAAAAGTTCCATCTCTCTACCCTCTGGTTATGTCAACAGTTTGCTATTGAAAATGGCCCAGTCGAAATAGTGGATTTACCCATGAAAAATGGTGGATCTTTCCATAGCTATGTTAGTTTACCAGAGGGTTTCTATCTATCTATCTATCTATCTCTCTCTCTATCTATCTATCTATCTATCTCTCTCTCTCTATCTATCTATCTATCTATCTATCGATCTATCGATCTATCGATCTATCGATCTATCGATCGATCTATCGATCTATCGATCTATCGATCTATCGATCTATCGATCTATCGATCTATCGATCTATCGATCTATCGATCTATCTATCTATCTAGCTATCTAGCTATCTAGCTATCTAGCTATCTATCTATCTATCTATCTAATCTATCTAATCTATCTAATCTATCTAATCTATCTAATCTATCTAATCTATCTAATCTATCTAATCTATCTATCTATCTATCTATCTATCTATCTATCTCTATCTTTTTGGGAAGAGAAGCGCGGCCTTTTGACGTTTGAACTCGGCGAATTTCCTGAGAAGCAACTCGGATGCAGGCAGCTTTTTCAAAAAGCACGCCTTTCTATTTGCGTTTGATCTTCAGCAACCTATGCTCGAAATTCACCACCCTGATATATCTGATATCCTCCCTGCCACTGAATGAGAATACACACCCTGAGCACAAGCTGGGCAAACTTACTGGTTGTACTCCTCCTTGAGCTTCCCAGCCTGCAAGAAGAATCAAACCAATGCCGGGCTGGTGGTTCTGAAATGTTCTGAACCCTTGTGGCCATTTTGTTGGGTAGAGTCGGCGCAAGTGAATGAGACAAAAAGGAGCAAACACAACAAAAAAACCTCTGACAAAAGAAGCTCCTCGCCTCCGTCTCAAAGGGCTCACGTTCTTCTGGCGAGGTGCTCTTCCACTTCTCACCCAAAATCTTGCCTTAAAGAAGCAAACCACTTGCGATCTTACCATTCTTACCGTTTATTTGTTCAACAACAATCTTCAAATGTTTCAATCAAATGCAGACACAATTCTGTTTTGAGTTAGATTGTGAACCAATAGCAGGCTGGGTGTACAAAAAGTTGTTGTCAATGCCCCTGTCAGACTGCAAGTGCAACACCGGGATTTCTCTGACGGGAATCTATGTGGTGTTTGGCCTTGCGATTTGCCATGCGTATGATGGCCGCCAGCCATCTGATAGTATGGTCCACCCTGGCCTACGTCCCATTTGTGCGAACTAAATGGGTCTGGAATTGTTGAAGGATTTCCTGTTTCCGTTTTGGAATGGTTTGTTGCAGCATTTTTGGAGCTCGAAACTGCCAATGCATGCCATTTCTACGGCATTTTGCAGCATTTTGGCCTTTGTAGCATGTTGCAGCTCGAAGCTGCCATTCTACGGAATTTGCTGGACTGTGGTTTATTTCAGGTTGGCGGCTGTATTTATATGTATTTATAGGGTTGGTTTATATAGGTTCGATTCATTCAGTGCCTTTAATAGTTGTTATTAAACTTTCCAATTGCTTAACGCATTTAGACAGGAAAGCAGCACAGCGGAGGCAGAAGCACAAGACTTAAAACTAAAAGTAGAAAACAGAAAAATGAATAGCTGAAACGGAAAAAATATTAAAGCAGAGAAGAAAGATTCAGGGAACCAAATTAATTAAAAAAAACATGCCGGAAAAAAAATAGTCAAAACATAGCCCTCCGAAGTAAATGCAAATTCCTCGTGGGCATCTTCAACATTTGCCCGCGAAAAAAGCTTGCCTGCCAAGGAACTGAGCTCTCCAGCACTGGCACCTTTCTTTTCCTGCAGCCGTGAAGTTGAAGTTGATTGGTTGTACCCTCTGGTAATTTAACATAGCTATGGAAAATCACCATTTTCAATGGGAAAACTCACTATAAATGGGCCATTTTCAATAGCTATGTTAAATTACCAGAGGGTAGATTTTGAGTGACTTTGTATCTTGCGATTGCTTCACTCTGACTCTGAGCCTCCATGACCTGCTTCAGGTGCTTGGCTTTGAAAAGACTGAAGGCATTGGTCGGCTTGGTCGGGGCATCCTGCAGCAGGCCGCCGTGATGTTCGGCTAAGACGCTGCAGAAAGTCGCAAGATGCGGATGAAAAGAGGAACGAGATGGAAGTTCTATGAAGTTCTGGTGTCTCAAGCGCTGGTCTTTCGAAATTATCTTGGTGTGAAACATTCGGTGAAACAGAGACTTTCTAGCCTGGCACACTGAGACGAAGGCAATCTGAAAGAGCGGGTCAGCATGCATCAGCTGATCATCAGCTCACCTTTTCTCACTTTAAACTCTTGAAGTGCTCTTGTGCTTTCTCATACAGCTCCGTGCCCTTTTTCACGACTGCGAAGCCTGAAACATTGAGTTCAGTTCTGGCACGTTTCACAGCCTCAGTCCACTTTCCGATGGTCTCGTTGACGCGCTTTTTGGAAGCTTCAGATGCACGTTTGCTGACTATCCTCCCACGGCTATTCTTGGTCAAATCCTCCTTCTGCAGGCGGATTACACCTCCAGTGTCACCGCCTCGGAATGCCACAGCACGTGCCATCTTCTTACTCACAGGTGTCTTCCTCTGAGATATTCGGACAATGCCTAAACGCCACAGGTCGTTCTTGGATCGCTCGCAGATCCACCCCAAGCCACGTGTCATTCTGAGGTATGCTCTTTGCTCAGCCTTGGCCCAAAACACACCATCTGCTAGGAAGCTTTCCCCCTTCTGTAGAGTCTTCAGGCCACTTTGAAGCAAATGTGACATTCCAGGTTTACGCAGCACTGGCAGCCGCCCAGAAATGATACGAAACTTTCGGACCAAACGCTTCGAGGATTTTGAGGCCTTTGCGGTCTCATTGTCTCCCTGCACGTTCTCTTCAAGAGTTTCCAGATCCAGATCTTCGTGGTCTTGGGCTGAGCCTTCTGAGCCTTCTGAGCTTTCAGCTTCCTCAGCTTCCTCAGCTTCCTCCGAACCTTGAGACTCTTCACTTCCCTCAGTTGGATTGGGATCATTGCCAATCTCTTCAATCTCTTCAATCTCTTCTGTGACGTCTTCGGTGTCCTGACTCTGTCCTTTCCCTTGGCTTCCCATGTTCTGCGCATCATTCGAAGCACCTTGCAGCACTGCATTCTCTGCGTCACTGCTTTCTGGCCAAACCTGCGGCAAGACTTCCATGGCAGGTGACTTCAAAGGCCACGTCCTGAACTTTGCAGGTTCCAGGGGATCCTCACCAGCTTTGGGTGTCAGCACCACCAGTGCCATGTCCTCACAGGAGCGGGTGCTGATCCAACCTGTTGCAGCCTTGAGGCGCAAATAGACACGGCCATCACGGCGTGACAAAAATCGAGCAACGACCTCGACAGGTCCGGGACCCAGCTGTTCCACTGGTTTCTCCATTACATCAGGCCTTGGAAAAACAGGCACACACCTGGACGAGCTCACAGAGCCCTCGGACACCTCGATAGTCACAGAACGAAGGAAAGGCTCAGCCTGTTCGCATTCCATGATCGCCTTGCTGCTCAACAAGGACGATGATGCTTCTCCCGGGCTCCAGCGTGAGCTCCCAGATGGACACCAACGCGCACTCGGCGCACTCGGTGCACTCGCACTGGCATGCGTTCCTTCTGGCTCTGGTGGCGCTGACCCGACTTGCCCACTGTGCAACTCCAAAGCGTCCAACAAGATACCTGTGTCAACCTTGATTCCTTTGACCTCGAGGCCTTCACCACTAGCAATCCGTTTCTCGACCTCTGCCACCATGGCCGTTCCTTGTTTCGACAACAGGGTCGAGATCAGCTGTACCAATCGTTCCCTCGGCAGCGACATGGCGAAACAGCTGAAGCTATTTAAGCTGGGTACTGCCGTCCTAAACATGAGCTGCCAAGGTCTTGTGTTGAGGCAGGTGCTTCTTAAAATATGTGCTATTCTATATATTCTATATTCTTCACTATTCCTCTACATTATACTATATCATTCTTCACTTTGGCCCTCACTTCTTGCATGGTTGACCAAAATGGAAGAGTCATTCAAATCTTTTTGATGCCGAGCGGAGAGCTTGGCAGAAAAATGCAGGAGTGCTTCTCACTGTAGTTCAGATTCAGCATTGGCCAGGACTGTCGCGAAAATCCCTTGTGCTGGCTGACTGACAGGACTGCAATCTGTCGGAGCAACAAAGCCGATATAGTTGGGGGGCCACCCCCTTCTTATTCTTGGGAACTTTGGCCGCCGCTACTCGGTTGATGAATCAGACTCAGACTTCCTTGCTTCAAGAGAAGCAGCCCAGAAAGAGCACCCAATGCAAGCTATATATATAGTTGGACATCTAGATACATCCATTCTGCCTGGATAAACCAACCATTGTTTTCCTCACGATACACATGCCGCATCCTGCTGCAACACTAGCGTTTTTATTAGGCGCTGCAGGCGTCCTTGTAAGTGGTTCGGTTCAAAGCGTTCAAGGCATGGCGACCATCCATTTTCGCCTTCTTGAGCTGGAAGTCCTGTCAATGCAAGCTGCGAAGCCTTCCTCTTTCCACGCAGCTTTCCTATACACTTAAAGCTGATTGTACATTTACCAGCCTGAGGTGTCCAACAAAAATTGCATGCAAGAATCAAGACATACTGACTCTATGAAGTGTGGTTCTACAGGGGCACCTTCCAATCTTGTGTTTTCTTGTACTCTGCAAACTTGATCATAAACCTCAGTTCACGGCAGTTCTCCAAGTCAGGAGTTCAATAAATCTCAAACCACCCTACTCAAAGCGCCCTAGTGACCTAGTGTTTCCTTTGCTGCATTCCTGAGAAGCTCAGTTGTTCCATGGTGCTTTGCAATCTTGCAGTCCAGAGGCTCCTCTTTCTGCCGCTGTGCCATCTCTTGGTATTCTGCCTTTTTGGTCTCAGAGAGCCTAAGTAGAGCCCACAGCACCACCCACGACAGCAAGACAAATGGAATGGAAGCGCCAGGCAGCGTTTCTCTACAATTCACTTGCATTTAAGATAATCTCAATGTGCTTTGGAAACTCGGAATAACCCGATCTCGCGAATGAGTTCCCAAGCGCGTTCCACTCTTCGGAGATCTTTTTCCCAATGTCACCCATACTTCCACCTGCTCCCATCACTTCCTGGCATGTAGTGGGTATCTGTAAATCGTCATGATGCTGGCTGTATTTTATCCATGACACTCATGTACCAGAAGGAAAACCACAGGATGTTAAATGCGAAACAATGCAAAAAACATCCTTCCAACATCTTCCAACATCCTTTTCATTGCAGATATCTTGGGTTGGGAAGAGCCTCACAATATCCCGACGGCCTCCTTGACCCTGTTTCGGATTTCATCGGAAAAAATTCCGTAGCCGGGGCGAGGCCTGAAAGCCCAGAGCCAGCACTTCGTCTTGCTAAGTCTTGCTAAGTCTGCTAAGTCGATAACAGGTGCGAACACCCCCTGCATACATGCAAAAGGATAGCTAAACATTGCTGAAGCTGAATTTTGAGCAATTTGTTTTTTCAAAAAATGGACCTTGGAGATAAAGAGTTGGAACAGTTTCGAGCTCCCTTGGAGCTCCTTCATGTCCTATGGTCAGTCTTGTTCTTCCTGGGTCGTCGGCTTCTTGGGTGCTTTTTTAGATTCCGCTTTCAGAAATTTCTTCTTCTCTTTCTTATCCTTGTACTCCTGCCATGCTTTTGAGATGCAGGATGCCACAAGGCCTAAGAACCTGAAGCAAGACAAATATAATATAATATAATATAATATAATATATTCTAATATAACACAATATAATATAATATAACACAATACAATTTAATTTAATATGATATAATATAATATAAGATAATATAATATAATATAATATAAGATAAGATCATATTAGATAACATAAGATAATATAAGATAATACAAGGTAATATAAGATAATAACAGGTAATATAAGATAATATAATATAATATGGTATAGTATCACATCATATTAAACTATATTATAATATAATATGGTATCATATCATATTAAATTATATCATAATATAATATGGTATCATATCATATTAAATTATATTATAATATAATATGGTATCATGTCATATTAAATTATATTATAATATAATAGCATATTAAATAAAATTATAATATCATATGATATCATATCATATCATATCATATTATATTATATTATGTTGTATTATATTTTATTATATTTTATTATAATTTGCCGTTTCCGATTATATTATGTTATGCTATAACATAGATTTTAATATATTACTTTTTATTTTATTGTATTGCATCACACTATGTTATTTGATATTATGTTATACTGTATTATTTTGTGTTGTATTATGCTCTACTATGTATTTCATTAAATCATGTTCTATTGCAATATATCATACACTATAATGTTGTTTCATATCAGATCATATTATACTATATTTTATGTTTCATATCAGATCATATTATACTATATTTTACTATATAATGTTGTGTCATATGATATTGGGTCATATTATATTACATTATTTCATATTATACTAGTTTTTCTTTTTGTTAGATGTTATATATCTTGAATATGACTAGAGTATATTCTATTAGATTATATTATATATTATATACTAGACTATAATATAATATTAGATTCTAGTATATAATATAGTAGGATATCATATAATTTTATATTTTGTTATATGATGTTATGTTATATTCTATTCTGTTATTTTATATTATATTATATTTTTCAGTATTATATGTTAGTATATCATACATATATACATCTATATATGTATCTATATATATATACATGTGTGTGTGTGTCTGTGTGTGTCTGTGTGTGTGTGTTTATTTACTCATGGCTTGATTTATGTGTTCTGCTTTTACGCTCCTGCCCATGTCATGCCACAAACTGTGTCCAAGCACCTTGGAGACTTCCGCTGCCTTCCCACTGAGAGACCGGAAGGCACCAGGAGCCACAACCAGCACTGGCACTGTCCCGGCACTGTCCCGGCAGTGTCCTGTTTGGCTAGGCAAAATTCCTTGTACGAATCAGTCTTCTTGTAAGCTTCCCATTTAGGCTTCCAGATCTCCATTTCTTCTTCGTACCTCGCGAATTTCAGGAGGCTCAAGTACGTTGGAGGTTGGCGAAATCGTCACCGTTGCTGCTTCGACTGTTTAGGTGCTGCAACTTGATTCAAATCCCAAGTGCACGGCTAAAGCGCAAGATAGTGCAAGTATCTAAAGAAAAAAATGGTTTTATAAAAATACAAGAAAGTGGCAACATATGGCAACATATGGCAACATCAAGAAAGTGCAACCAACTCTGAGGCAGTCACTCTTTTTGCAACCGATCCTTTTCTTCCTGGGACACCTCCAGGAACAACTCGCCGGTGCGATTCTATGTTGGTGACTCTGTTGACTCTGTTGACACATCATCCATCAATCCACGGATCAATCTTCCATCTAAAAAATTACTTGTTGGTGGTTGACCTATCCCTCTGAAAAATAGTCAATTGGGATTATTATTCCCAACATATGGAAAAATAAAACATGTTCCAAACCACCAACCAGATTAGCATATGTAGGCACTGTGTAGCTGTAACCTGCTGTGTGCAGAAAGTGAAATGCAAAATAGGCGCAGCAAAGTTCAAACAGGCGCCTGTTCCCAAATCTCATTGAGGGCCGTGAACATGGCTTTCAAGTCAGTCATCAATTCAGGCCTACAGGGTGGGAAGAATAACAAATCACAGAGGTGTTGAACTGCGCCAACTTTGGAACGGTTTTGACTGGGGTCCAAAAACACTCTCCAAACTAGTTTTGCTATGTTTTGCTGCCATTCCAGCATTTTCTATTTGACACATCAGGCCTGGTGTCTCAACAACACTTAAATGGCTTAAATATGGCCTCTCGGTTTTCAATCGATCGCGAGCTGGCATTGTGACCTTCCACAACACGGAGAAGGGATTTGAGGTCCGAAAAATCATGCATTGAAAAATGCCCTCCGGTAATTTAACATAGCTATTGAAAATGGCCATTTATAGTGGATTTACCCATTAAACATTGTGATTTTCTATAGCTACGTTAGTTTACCAGAGGGTATGTCATATCTTGTCACATCTTGTCATCTACAAACAAATTATCTAGAAACAAATTACATTTAATTACATCTTAAGAACATTTTGAGGCTCTCAGTCGGAGAAACAGACTTTGATGGAATCAGCTTTCATCACTCGGAAAATGAGCCTTGGCTTTGGGTGTCTGCGGCCGCTTTGGCGCATTGAGGTCCTGCGTCGAGATGTCGAGAACGTCTAAAAACCATGACATTGCGGGTTCGGTGCCTTGGGTGACCCATGATGAACCATTTGATACCAATTTCGGTATTTTCCAGAATTGTTCAGTGTCAGTACAGTGCCCTATAATTGTTCAATAATTGTTCAATAATCTAAATCTCTCTCCCTCGCCTTTTCGAAGAGTTCAGCTAAGCTAAGGCTGTACTACCTTTCACTTCATATGTTTTCGTAAGCTAGTGTCACTCTTCCACTTCTTTGAACTATCTGGGATGCTTTTGCCGTTAAAGCCTCTCTATGCGGTCTGCAGCCATGTCGTCCTTTGGCCGGCCCCGTTTCTTCTTCTCTGGAACCGTGCCATTCGTTCCCTCCTGAGGGATTGCCAATCCAGGAGCCAAGTTGGTCCCTTGCTTTGGCATAGGATCACCAGCCACAAATTCAAATGCCATTTGAACTCACTTGCCGAAGCCTCACCTTCATGTCACTGGATTGGTTTAAGGGAAATTTACAGGAAACCATGGTTTTTACCATCAAATATAGGGCTTTCCTGTAAATTTTCCCATCATCCAATTCTATGATCATGTTCAAACATGAGGATTTTGGCCAAATCATAAAGCACGGACAATTGTATATCGCAAAGACCTCCATAAACATCTACATGTGCGCGTACTATATGCGTAAATGATTCATGTCTTTTTCACCTCTATTCAGATACAGTATCTATGATTTCAGCAATTAATGTTTTTTCTCCTTTGTTTGTATTCATTCGTGCATGTATGTGTATATATATATAGTAACGTATTCATCTTTAAATATGTATTTTCTTATTGTTACTTGTGCATATCTTCTCATGGGGAATCGCTTTTCTTGCCACTTCGGGACGTTCGTGAACCCGGCCAGCCTGAGTTCCAGTTTCTCCATCTGCGCCCTTTGCTTCTGCCCTTTGCGGTGCATGCCACTGGCATTGTTTCGCACCGACTAGGAATGGGAAGCAAATGAGAGTAAATGCTGGGAGAATGCTGTTGCGCCCTTGTGGGCAAAGGCTCACACTGAAAGACATGAAACAGCATGACTTGTTCTCCATTGGGGGGGCAGGACAAAGACTCTCGGAAAATGGGTTTTGCCTTTTTTTTGTCCCTCCCAGACTGCGTCATGTTTGCACCTGGCCACTCCTTCAGAGACTGTGAGAGTCTCTTCCCCGTCCATCATGGCACCTTTGCAGCGGAACTCGACTGGGAGGAGAGCTATTGCCTGCAATTGCACCTATAGGATCACTTACATACATTATATATATATTACAACATGTATACATACATATATACATATATACACACGATATGTGTATACTATATGTATATATATATATATATATATTTCTTTATAATATGTATATATATATACTATACATATACTATATATGTGTATATACTATAATTATATATACTATATATTTATATATTTCCAGCGAAACAGTAGTAGATGCAGCAGCTGAAACCAGCTACTTCCAACCTCTTGGATTTCTTCGGAATGTGACCTGACCTCTTACACTTGACACCATGAAAGAAAAATCCAATGGGTCCAAGCTCGCAAACCCCATGAGTGACGTCTACCAAGGCCACAGATTGAAGAGCGCCGCTTTAAGTGTTCTGCAACAAATCAACCCCTGTCTACTCCGTCTACTCGATAGTTCTGTATGGCAAGTTCTACTTGGTAGACCACCATTTCAGCTCGTATCCCCAAACCTAGCTTTTGATCATTTGTCAAGCATACACAGAAGAAATCCCGCACCAATCTGCACCAATTGGTAGACGGTTTATCCCATTAATTACTATCCCATCATTTACAGGACTTTTACAAGTACCAATAATATCCAATATTATCCAGTAGTTCCCAACTGGTGCAGGATCTTTTCCATCCACAGTGTGACCACCTTTCATCTTGGCCACGGCTTTCCATTTCATCTGAGAAGCTTCGCTGGGCACGCTCAGAGGATGACGCTGAGCCAGAACAGCCCAGGGAAAACAAGGAAAACACTCAAAAAGGAGGCAAAAAAGGGCAGTGCCGTCCGAAATCTGTGTCAGCCAGGTGAGATTTACACAATTTTCACGGCGAGCTTTGGAATCTCCATGAATCCCCCTGCTCTATCTGAAACCCCACGGCCCGATGACAACGGAGGGCTTGGCTTTAATCGCCAATCCCAGCTGTGAAGAAACCCTGCCTCTGGAACTTGCAATTCCAGTAGTGTTCTGCCGTGCAAATACGTAAAGAATATACATATATATATAATGTATACATATAATATATATGTATATGCATCGTGCTGCTGGCATGCTGTGCGGTAGATTGATGATCACTGATGACTTGTGCACATATCGCTTTAAGACTTTTGCAATCTTTTGCGATTGGATCATGAAAGATTCCTGAAGATTGAGGTTCTGCTCAAGACGCGACACCCCTGAAATCTGTTGAATCTCGTGATGCCAGGCATGACTCATCGAGCTGTCAATGGTGCACTGGTACTGATGCTATGTCAGACTCAGCCATAGCACGGTAGCACGGGGACGCGGACGAAGCGAATGCACATGACATGACCCCAAAACATCCCCGGAGACTCCCCGAGCCTCGGAAAAGTTCCAGGAAGGTGCAGTGCAAACTCACCAAATTTATGGCCAATAAAGGTTATTCTGAGCACCAAACCTTGATAAATTTGATAAGCCTTATGCATAGAGAAATATAGATACATAATAGTACACACATACTGCTGAGCCAAACTAGGTCTTATCTGATAGCCTGGCTAGGAAATTGTAAGAATTAGTCAACAGTCCCTTGCCACGAGTCCCTCCCGCTGGGCGGTAGAAACCTTGTGCACCTCCTTCCGAACTTGACAAAGCTCTCCATGGTTTTGGTCAGCTGTGCCTAGAGTCATGGAGTCCATAGATGACGTGCAGGGTGTCCAGCTAACAGAGCTAACATGCTTGTTCTTTCCTCCAGATTCTTGGTGGGTCTGTTTAGTCTGTTTGGGGGTGCAGATGCAAAACCTAAAAGCGGACAGTCACAGCGGAAATTCTGTGCAAAGGTGTGACTTCGGGTGATGGCTTCCCTTTCTAGCGCATGATAACTGCACTTGTCCATCTTGGTCACAAGATCGGGAGACAAGGCAAACGCCAACTGGCGCCAACGTTGCTGAAAGTGGTTTTGGCTGCCTTGTGTCACTTCTGTCCGTAAGTTATGAACAGACTGTCAGCATCTGTCAGCAGGATGTTCACGTCGAAAGCTTGTCTCACAATGTGCACAGCCCCCTTTGAGGGCCAGGAGTGCAAAGAAAACACCCTGAAAATCAAAGTTCATCAAAGTTCAAAAGCTTGGACTCATTTGGATCATTTACCATCTGGATCCATCTGGTTATTTAACATAGCCATGGAAAATGAATGACATATATTTTTACACAACATCCGACTCTTTGCTGCTCGATTTCCTGGGCCACAGGATCCCAGGTCGTCCATTTAGATCTCTGGGATGTCAGCCAGATTCCCAACACCAGCATCAATGAATTCAATGAATCAATGAATCAACGGAAATCATTGGAGAATTCGACCGCATAACTGTCATAACTGTCATCTAGACTCGAGTCGTTCGGCAGGCCCGTTCGGCCCGTTCGGCCCGTTCGGCCCGTTCGGCTCTGAGTTTGGTCAATTGCACGCCTATATAAATTTTGACACCAGTGTAGGGATCGGGTGCAAGCGCAGCCCACCAACATCAGAGGAAACACTACGGTACCAACTCTGATGTTGCAACTCTTCAGACAGAAACTTGACGGAGAAGATTCTGCCAAAGTGGCAGGATACGGTTTTTCCAGAGAAAATGTGAAGATTCGCCTAAAATTTGGGGATAAAAATGGATAAAATGTATCCTGATGCTCACCATTGTGCATGTGCCAACAGGATCCAACAGGAAAATGTCTGAAATGTTGCGGAGGCTTCTCGGCCACAGGCTGCCCAGGCTGCCGCGATTCAACATCGTACACGCTGCTGGTGTTCACACGGTCTTCACTGCCTTTACAAATGGCTACAATCCTCTACGAACCTTTGCAAGTCCCAGATACGGGCCAACACTAGCCAACCAGCAGCGGCTGTCAAGTGAATTCTTGGGTGATTCTCTCTTCAGTTTTACCTCCAGGGACGTCGCCTGAGCAGGGAAGGACTCAAAAACTCAAAATTGGTCATCATTTTTGGCCATCGGATGATTCATCACCGACATCATGGTCACCATATGTCATCAAGACTCATCAAGGGCCCAGCCTCCAGCTTCCACCTATGGACCATGCACCTAGCCAGCATGGACGACACCCTGAACTTGCAGTGAATTGCGAAAGGGGTAGTGCTTGGCGGTGAGCTTGAACCATCGCACCCTCTCCTTGAGATTGCATCACATGGACGGTATACACTGCACCTTGCATTACATACACCACCAGTACCAGTACCAGTACCTGTAACAATATCGCTGCCACTACATTACACTATGTTGCATTGGGTCTACATACTATATCTTGCATCTATAAAATGATACACAGATCATACATACATTTGTTTGCACGCGCGAGTGCAAACATTCACCACCCGACCATACCGTAGAATTTCAATGCAACACCGTATCGTACCATGCAAGACAGTGTATAATGCAATGCAATGCAGGGCAATGCAATGCACTGCATATCTATATAAATGTATGTCCTCATGGGTATGTGAAAAAATGCACGCATGCATCTAAAATATACCTTTCGATATGCCAATAAATGTAAACATCTATGATCATCTATATGCCTATGCATATGCATACCTACAGTAATCTACAGTATATAAGATATATGTATGCGTCCTACAGAGCTTTGGGCACATCGCTCAACTAAAAGCGGAATGCAGCTATCCAGCTATCCCATCCGAACAGCGAACTGTACTGTGCCTCAACGAAACAGCACAGGTCCTTTGTACGGCACGAGAATGTGGAACGCAATGAATTCCACAAAAGCTCCCATCCGCATCCATTCTTGGAGCCTCAGCCAAAAAATGGCCAAAAATCATATCTGGTTGGTGGTTGAGCCCTACCCCTCTGAAAAATATGACTTCGTCAGTTGGGATGATTATGATTGATTATTCCCAATATATGGAAAGTCATAAAATTCCATGGTTCCAAACCACCAACCAGATATACCAATGATGTCCTTGAAGCAGGCCCTTTTGCGCCGAAACCTGTAAGACCAACAGGCGTGTTGGAAGAGCAAGAAACTGTAGATTTCAATGCATGCTTCACCATCGCACTCAATCGGGAACTTGTCCTTGGGACAAATCGAAAGCAACTCTGGCTTGAAGGCAAGCCAAGGGCTGACCTTTTAGCTTGAGCACATCTTTCAACAGAGTTTTGGTATGCTTTGACTACTGCTTGAGACACGAAACTGTAGATTGCGTCGCTGATAGGACTGGTGAATAGGTCACAACTCAGGGCATCCTGGTTTCAGTGTCTGGATGTGTCTGGCCAAGATTCTGCAAAGTTGACTCCACTCACGTGGACAGTATGAATCGGCATGAACCAAGTCATTGACTCGCCTGCCAGGTTTGATATAGGCTGGATATAGGCTTGATAAATCCTGCACCGCCATTGAAGTCACAACTGCACTGAAACGCATGGATTTCAGGCCCTGAGTCGGATTTCTGCGCCTGGCTGCAACTCCAAGGGTAGCACATTTCGCGCCACTTCTTCCTGGCCCGCCATTTCGCACAGGAATGCAGTCTGTTCCAGGCAAGTCATCGCTTTTTGCAAACTTCACAAAATCAAAGTGAAATATGGGTAATATGGGTCACTCGCCATCAGAACTTCAGAACGCTTCCTGGTTTGAAGCCATCCTTTTTCGGTCAAATCGCCTTATGTGAACCGTAAGCCCTTGCGTCCTTTTGGGGGGTCGGTTGGGTCGGTTGGGTCGGTTGGGTCGGTTGGGTCGGTTGGGTCGGTTGGGTCGGTTGGGTCGGTTGGGTCGGTTGGGTTGGGTACATCTGTGTCACAACGGTCACAACACGAGATCCTGCGCTTTGTGAGGTCCGTGAGAATGTAGCGGTGCTTTCCTCGGCGGATGATAGTGACATCAGCTACTGCAGTCGGTAAGAGTCGGTAAGAGCTCCTGAGGCTTCACAGCTCTTGACATCTGACATCTCTTGACATCTCTTGACATTGTTGACATGAGCCATGGTCAATACTCACTATATGGTTGATGGTCATCCCATCCATAATAAGGATCCAAAAATAATGGTTATTATAAATCCCTATGAACCATTGGATGACTAGCCCCGTTTTTAATGGTTATTAACCATGAGTATTGACCACAGCTCACATATTGTGAGTGTCTTGAAACATTCTGCCATGCAGCCATCCAAGGTTGCTGGGAATCAAGTTGATCCAAACGCCTATGAAAGGCATGTTGCGTCGATGTTCCTGGCACCTGCAAGTCATTCCACAAGAATGGACCAAAATGGACCAAAATGATCCAAAAATGATCCAAAATCTCTGCTGAGAACAAGAGTGCGACCTTGTTCTTATCTCTTTTCCTGTTCTCTTCGTAGTCCAAGCGGCTGAAGCTCCCACTTGGCTTCCAAGTACTTGAAAAAGTCCGGAGTCCAATCACCAGATGATGCCTGCACAAAAACTCGTGCGCATTCCGGATGTTCAAAGTCCCAAATCGAAACATGGCTCCAGAAATCAGCCCTTCTTCACACCTGATCAGTTCCTGATGATCAGTTCCTGATACTGTCCACTGTCTATCCGACCTGTGCTTCAGCCCACATCGTGTCCACGAGGAAACCCAAGCCAACCCGATCAGCATGGTAGCCTAAGTGCCCACCCAAGCGAACAAGAGAAACCTCAAAACTCACCTGGAAACCTCACTGATTCGCTGAAGGGCACCGAATCAGAACTCACCATAGCAACACATGCCAGCGCAGAAGAGGTGCGGATCTCTTGAAAGCGCTCGTCATTGAAGCCACCGAAACTCACATGTTCCTGCCGGTCTGCTCACTGTGCTAACTTTGGTCTTGTTGCAAGCCACTCACCAATGTTCTAAATGGATTGCAGCATTGGAGCGAATATGTTTATATTACGAGTCCCTCCTGCAAAATGTCCGCGAAGTTCTGATGCGGGTTCTGCTCCTCAGGAACACATGATGAGCATCGCACTGGAATGTCACAGGATTCCAACTCCTTTGTTTTCAAAAGAGCCGACATTTTCATTGTGAACAAACTGTTTGTTTTGGGATAGCCGCAAGGAAAAAGGCAAACAGCCAACCACTGGGTTGCATATTCAGGGATGGAATGAGGGAAGGAACGCTTGGATGACCAGGTGGTCAGATAGAGGAAGAGCGAAAGGTATTTCTGGATACAAATTGACACGTATGTCTGCTCGCACGCGCGCATGTGTACTTGGAAAGGGTCAGCTGTTCTGTGCGCACCTAAGCATGCATGCATGTATGTTGTACATTCGCACGTAAGTGGGCAGGTAGACAGGTTGGCAAGTAGGTAAGTAGGCATGGGCATGCGTGTATCCATCTATCCATCTGTCCATCCATCCATACTAATCCAATCTAGTCTATGCATACAGGACCATCACCATGACATGGGGGTGGGGGGGTTCCTGGCCTGGGCCATATATGTCCGCATTTCTGCGTTTTTACATGTCTTCTGCATTGCTGCACTACTTAATGTCCACACATCTACTATGTCTAAATTCTCGATGTCTATATGCATGCACGCTGTTGCTTATCTGATGCAATGTAATGTAACGTAAGGTAATGTAGTATGTAATCTACCGTCACGTAATGTAATGTAATTGTATATGTTTGTATGTACGTAAGTATTGGGTCGTTACGCATAGGTGGGTCGGAGCGCATGTGTCTCTGTACATACATTGTATACGTGGGTAGGTCTGTTTATCGGCACAGTAGCAGGAAGGGGAGAAGAAAACAAACAGACTAGCTATAAGGTGATGAAACAGTTGTCAACACTACTACCAGCCAGGTCTTTTCTGCAAACAAATCATCAAACGAGGTAGTGGGATACATTTATGCACAAACTAATCTTAAGATATCTTAAGTATGTACAAAAAATAAACCAGATTGAGTCAAGGGTGGAGAATTTCCGCCCTTGACTAACTGCGAAGCTTCTGTGTTGCCCTAAAAATGGGGCCCATCCCACCTGCCAGGAGATGATCATCTTTGCCAGCTCGAAGTCACCAATGTCCTCGATGCGT